TGCATGCGCCCCACGTTTTTCATTTTCAATCTCATAAATTGTTTATAATGACTTTTTCTAAAATTTTAAAATCAAAAGTTATCAAAACAAATTCTATGGGACTGAGAAATATTATTTTCTTTTTTTTTGTCCATTTATAAAAGCGTGGTATTTTAAAAAGTTTTTATTTTATTTTATTTATTTTCATTGCTGAGTGGTATGACTGCAGTCGACGGCCGCTGTGGTAAGCAGTGCGCTCTTCCACTCCTCAGGGCCTGGGTTCAAGCCCAGATCACAGCAACATCGCAAAAAAATTTTGAAAAAAAGGGTTTTTCTTAACAGCGGCCGCCCCCCGCAGGTAAAGGCAAACCTCCTAGTACATTTCTACCATGAACAACCACTTCTCACAAAAATACAATCGCCATTCGGAGTCGGCGTAAAACTGTAGGTCCCTCCCCTTTTTGGTGACAACATCAAGGCGAACGGAGGAGAAGCTCGGCCAAACACTAACATATGTGTAAGCGCCAATATATTATTATGATGTGGTTAGCTGTTATATACGGTTAGTACTTTATCTTCTGTTGTTGAGAGAGGGCATTTTGTTTTGTTTCGACTACCAGAGCGTTATATTTTTTGCAGAACTGCTCGCCGAAACGAAGTTGAGACTTTTTTTGCTGTTTTTATATTAATACGGATATAATTTGCTCATTTTTACTTTATATTGGTCTCGTTTGTGAAGCCCAGCAGAAAATTGAGTCGTTTTTTGAGACGCTTAATAAAATACATAAAATAGATAGTGTATGTGAAATATATTTAATAAACAATATTTTTTAGTTTTTATGAACCCAAAAATTATTTTATTATTGAGTTTAAAAATCAAATTGATAAGATTAAGATATGTATAACCTTTAGTTTCCTTTTGTTTTTTAAACAACAGGGTTTTATCAAGACATTGTCAAATCGACGATCATTATTACTCATAACTAGTACTATGTGAAATGGTTTTGTAATTAGTACTATGTAAAATTTAGTTACTATTCTAGGTTTAAGATTAAATTACAACGTGACGATGTTTGCTAGGAGGGCCCGTCCAAAGATTTTCCCACGGGGCTCAGATGGTACAGTTACGCCACCGGCAGTCGCCTTGAAACGTCCGCCGAAGGCAATTCGCCTGGGCGATTCGTTTTATTATTACACCGAGGGAAAAAAATTTTAGAACTAAAAAAAACGTACTAAATTTAAAAAATACGCATATGAAAGATCACCAACCCAACTCGTTTTAAATTTGAGCATGTGCGTTATAAAATATGTGATTGTGAAGTGCACAGATGCTTGTTCGTAATTACGAAGGAAAATAAATTAATTTTATGTTCTGTCTGATGGTAATTGAACCGGGACCCTCTTGGTCGCAACCAATTGTATCATGCGTCTTTGCACACTCAGCTACAGCCATACATGTGAATGTGCTTTCAAATGTTAAGTTTGACCCCTGCAAAAAAATGGGACTAATCCGGGATGACTCCGGGAGGAATCGCAAAGGAGCATGCGACTAATACCACTTTTGATCTCTTTGTATGGAATGAACTGTTCGCTTTTGTTCGAGCATGTCGTATGAAGAGACTAATTGTTCACCTTTATACCCGAACGGGTATAAAAAGCGACTAGTCAATTAAAAAAAATAAAAATAAAAATTTGCGCCAGCTGAGATTCAATCCGGGGTTCTCAGTTTTGTCAGGCGAATACTCTCTCTGTGCGCCAACGCCGCACATGAAATTTCATTGACGAAGTGCGTACATATCATTAAATCGTTAATAGTACCCGTTAGAGATGAGTTGGGGACTAATTGACCTCCAATTATACCCATAAGGTAGGGCTGCCAGATATCTCTGTTGCCAAACCGGGACACTTTAGGGAGGGCCTCTTGCTCCCTTCTCTTTCATTTCGACGTGCGAAAGGATGTAGGGAAATTTTATTTTGACCTACAAAAACAAAAACATAAAAACATGAGATCATGAGATCATTACAACGTACGCCAACAAAACAAAACAACTTATCACAACTAAAGCACAGCGAATTTTTTACATTGCATGATTCTTTTTTATTCTTTATAAAAATACAGTTTATACTAAATGTACGAAAAAACATAAAAATAAAATTGTTAAACTTTGTGCTAAACTCGGGAAAATTCAATAAATTTGCATACAAATTTGCAACATCCTAATCAGGCTTTTTATAAAAATATTTAAAATGAAGTTTTGCAGCCCATTAAATTTTAGTTGATTTTTGGTATTGTTTTTATTGAGAGTTTCTTCCATACAAACTAGAGATGGGCAAGGGCCGGGCTTTTGGCAGGGGCCCAGCGGGCCCCTGCATAAGCCCGCGGGTGCGGGCCGGAATATTTGCTGTCAGCACGAACTCGTGCGTGCATGGGCGTTCAGTAAAATTTCATAAAAGCACGAATAAGCACGAAAAAGTCCGTTGCTAGTACTACAAATTTAGATAAGCTATTCTTTTTATACAAAAAAAATAGTACATATTAAAACTCTTTTGATAAAAGAAAAGCAAAAAAAGAAATATTTGGAAACCAATAGAGGAAATAAGATACTTAATAGTTTTGTTTACATATCTGTCATAAAATACCTTCCACTATTGTACTTTTTTCATTTTTGTACTTTGTTATTTTTGAAATTATTGAATGAAGTTCTTTTTCAATTTATGTAAATCAAAAAGAAAATTTTTGATTACTTCAGAATTTTTTCTTCTTTGAAATTTAAAATACGTTAAATTAAAAATAAGTTTATATAAAAATAAAATTTCTTTAAAAATACATTTATATAATTAAATACGCTACAATTGGCGATCCTGCCAGGAGCAATATAAGAAATTACATTAAGCTGATATATTGATTTTGTACACTTGGTTTGTTGTTCCGCGGTACTAGTCCACAGATGATGAGATGTTACACCAAAATGTTGAAGTGCAATGCGTCGCAATAGTCAGCAGTGAAAAAGAGTAGCACCATTGCGAGCAGCTGGCATATTCCAACACGCACTACTACCACCACCGTTATCACCATCACTTGAATCATAGCAGCCGCAACATCAGAAAGCAATATCCCCATTGCCTTTTGTTGAAGATCAGCAATCACAATTAGTAGAGCAACAACAGCACCAGCTTCAAACGCACCAATGCGCATTCAACGACACTAGCACAATTGCCGATATCATTGATGCATCTGCATTAGAAGCAGTCACTGGAGAAGCTATTTTAAGTGCTGATATTGCATCAACCAGTCAACAACAACCACATAACCAGCAGCAGCAGCAGCGTTCTCAAGATCAAGAACAGCAACCGGAAAGTTTGAGCGGTGCTCAATGCTCCTTTTTGAGCGTAATAGGAGAAGTTCCAGCTGGTAGTAGCGCATTAACAGAACGAAATAAAATATCTCCAACATCACTGCCATTGCTGCTGCAGGAGGAAGAAGACGAAGAAGCGGACACAGGCAACGAGGCTAGAGCATCGAAGTCACCCGCAGCAGTGGCGGCATCAGCAGCGACCGCAGCAGTAGCGCTAACATCAACAACAATCTTAGTTTTACTGGTGAGCTGTATTGTATAACTTTAGCGCTAGTTTTGTTGAAAATAATTAAATACATAGTTTAATTGTTATTTATTAAATATTACATATATAATATTTAATTTTTTAATTGTAAACTTCCCTTTTCTGACGTCTTTTGATATTTGCTCAAATTCAAATAATCAAAATGTTTCGTTCACCACAACATGATACACATACATCTACACGAGATAATTTAAATGAAACTCTTTTTGATTTACAAAATAGTACGCTTAATGAACAGTTAACAAATCCATATGTCGATCGAAATAGTAATGAGATTTGTGCTACATCGGTCAAACTACCACAATTCTGGACAAGTTGTCCGGAAGCGTGGTTTATTCATGCGGAAATGCAGTTTAGTACCAAAAATATTACACAAGAAACAACAAAGTATGAACATACAATTACTGCACTTCCGCAAGAAGTTATAATAACGATTTTAGACTTTATTCAAAATCCGCCCGAAAATAATAAATTTACTGCACTTGAGAAAATTTTAATTGAAAGGCATTCATTAAGTGAGAATGCGAAATTAGTCAAAATTTTATCGGATACTGAAATGGGTGATCGTAAGCCCTCGGAATTTTATCGGTCACTTGTACTGCTTTCGGGTTCCAATTTTAGTCAAGAAATTCTTAAGAAACTTTGGATGAGGAAGTTACCGAAGAACCTAAGCGTGATTTTAGCTAGTTCTAATTCAAGCAGTATTAGTGAATTGACGAAATTGGCTGATAATGTTTGGGAGGTTATTAGCAAAAGCGAGATAGCTTCAGTTAATGATTTTCAAAATTCAAAAGGTGAAAATGCAGTCATGGCTAATTTGGTTAACACTACTTCTCTTATTTTTAAAAATTTTGAAAAACTTTCTTTGGAATTATGTGAAATGAGAAGTGAAATGAATCAAAATTATTCAAGGTCACGTTCAGTGAATAGGAATCGTTTTAGGAGCCCTTTTAGATATCGATCAAAATCACGCGACAATCCGAATTGGTTATGTAGATATCATTATAAATTTGGAAACAAGGCTAAAAAATGTGAACAACCATGTGCATTTTCAAAAAATAATAGTCCAACAAACTAAAGTCGTCCGTTGTGGCAGCGACAAACAACCGGAATTTGGACATTTCCACAAGTCGCCTTTTTATATTTGATAAAACAAACAAACTAAATTTTTTAATTGATAGCGGAGCAGAAATTTCGGTACTTCCAGTTTCTAAATTTTCGAATACTAGGAAATCTTCAGATATAATTTTAACGGCAGCTAACGGCTCAACTATTTTTACATACGGGAAGAGACTTTTGAATATTAATTTGGGCTTAAGGCGGGAGTTCCTTTTTACATTTTTGATTGCTGATATTGCGAAGCCGATTATAGGAGCTGATTTTTTGTGTAAATATGGACTTCTTATTGATATTAAAAACAAGTGTTTAGTAGATCCGTTAACAAATCTATCAGTTAATACAATTTCGTACTTTTGCAATGTCCCTCTTCCGAAAATTTTTTCAGTAGATGATCAATATACAAAATTATTGAAGGAATTTCCTTCCCTTATTTCTGAGCCAGATTACTCAAAACCGGTTAAGCATACAACGGTTCACAGACTTGTCACTGAAGGAAACCTTCCTTTTTCTAAGCCAAGGCGCTTAGATCCTATCAAATTTAAAATAGCTAAAACTGAATTCGATTTTTTGGTAAAAACAGGGATTTGTAGACCATCAAATTCATCCGTGGCATCTCCACTTCATTTAGTACAAAAGAAAGAAGTTAATGACTGGCGTCCTTGTGGTGATTTTAGAAGACTTAATAATGTGACTGTACCGGATCGTTATCCTTTGCCTTATATTCACGATTTTAATATGAACCTTAGGAATCAAAATAAATTTTCAAAGTTAGATTTAGTTAGAGCGTATCACCAAATTCCAATGGCAGAAGAAGACATTTTTAAAACGGCGATTACTACTCCTTTCGGTATGTTTGAGTTCACCCGAATGCCTTTCGGGCTGAGGAACTCAGCGCAAACGTTTCAGGGATTCATCAACGAAGTAGTAGGTAAATTAGATTTTGTTTTCGCGTATATTGATGATCTACTGGTTGCAAGTGAGAGTGAAGAACAACATTTCTTTTACGGGTACTTTTCGAACATTTGTCTGAGTATTGTTTGAACGTCAAACCAAGCAAATGCATTTTTGGTGTTCCAAGTATAGATTTTTTTGGACATTGTCTATCTGAGGCAGGGATACAGCCTTCTGTAAACAGAGTAGAAGCGATTCGCAATTTTGAACGACCGAAGTCAATAAAACAAGCGCAAAAGTTTATTGGTATGGTTAACTATTACCATAGATATATTTCAAAATTAGCTGAGTTTACTGGAGTTATACAGGGTGTCCCAGAAGTAACGTGCCAAACTTTAGGGCAAGGTAGGTGGGGGGGTGAGCTCACTGATAAACAAAAAATTTTCAGGTAAAAGTGTCACCGTTTTTGAAATATTTACATTTTTTCAAATTTAAAAAAAATCGTGCCTATTCATGTGTTTTCTTTAACTGCAACTACAAACCGGGCAATACTTAGTAAATTTTTTATGTAAAATACTTCCAGATAGTTGCCTCTCCATACTCAAATGCAATGTAGTTAACGAACGATCTTCTCTCATTTCGTGAGGATTGTATATCTGCCAACTGTGAAGGTTATGTAAATTAAAATAACCATCACGTTTGCATGATGATTCATCGCTCCAAATTATTTTATTAAAAAATTTGGGGTCTGATTCATGCATTCGCAACATTTCACGGCAAAATCTAACCCTCGACAGGTAATCTCTTTCCTGTAGAGCCTGAACACGTTGAATGTGGGATGAAATCGATGGTCTTTTAAAGCTTTGTGAACTGTAGTTTTTGGTATTCCCGTCCCTCTTTCCATCATTCTCACTGAAGTCGATGGAGCTAGTTCCACTTCCTCTAACACAGCTTCAACATCTACCGTTGCAGGACGTCCTGTTTCGCCGCCACGCCTTCCAGGTATGCGACCTTAAAAAAGTGAAAAATTATAGTTAACAAGCAAGCAAACAAGAAAGGTGTAAAAATCACTTACCTTCATATATTTCTCTATGGGTCCGGGCGAATACTTCTCGACCCGGATGTCGACGATTGGGGTATCGCTCTGCATAGAGTCTTTGAGCAGCTCTGGCATTACAGCAAGCTTCACCGTAAATTAGGTGAATATCCGCATATTCATGCGACGTATACTGCGTGTTCTCTGTCATAGTATTAATAACACAATGTTCGAAGGGTCCAATTTCACAAAATCCACTTTCACTAATTCCGGTAAGTAACATAAAATAATGTCAAGAGCAAGTAATTATGTACCTTTGTACTATTTAGCATGTCATTTGACGGTAACAAGAGCAAATTCAATTTAAATCTATTAAATACATTCTAGCGTGTCTCAGTCCTTTACCCACAAAAGCGGCTATAACTTTTTTTTTTCTATTCAAAACAGTAAGTGTGGCACCTTTCTGAAATCTTTATTAAATGAGCAATTTTTTTATGTAATGTAAAGTTATAGCTCAGTACATTTTTTTTTCACCCGAGATAGTCAAAGTTGGGGAAGAAAATATCAAAAAGTTAAAAATCCAGAAATAGTCCTAATTTTATGATGGTTCCTTAATTTATTTTAACTACATTGCATTTGAGTATGGAGAGGCAACTATCTGGAAGTATTTTACATAAAAAATTTACTAAGTATTGCCCGGTTTGTAGTTGCAGTTAAAGAAAACACATGAAAAGGCACGATTTTTTTTTAAATTCGAAAAAATGTAAATATTTCAAAAACGGTGACACTTTTACCTGAAAATTTTTTATTTATCAGTGAACTCTCTCCAGCAGAAATGAAATATAGTGCTTTTGACAGGGAACATTTAGCAATTTATTTGAATATTAAACATTTTCGGTATTTATTAGAAGGAAGACAGTTTACGGTTTTTACTGACCACAAACCCTTGATTTTTGTTCTAAATTCCAAAACTGACCGTAGTCCAAGACAGACAAGGCATCTTGAGTTTATTGCACAGTTTACTAGTGGCGTACAGTTTATTAAAGGACAGACCAACATTGTAGCTGACACGTTATCTCGTGCGTTTGAAATAGATGTGATTAAAAATTCAGAACTTAATTTCAAAATTTTACAGAGTGAACAGCAACAGGACAGTGAACTTAATAAACTTATTTCTGGACAAACGTTTCAAAATCTTAATTTAATTAAAATTCCTATTCTAAATTTTAATATTTGGTGTGAAGTGTCAGGAGAAAGTCCTAGACCTTTCGTTCCAAATAATTTGCGCAGGACAGTGTTCGATATGTTACATGGAATTGCTCATCCTGGTACCAAGGCTACACGCCGATTAATTGTGAAGAAGTATTATTGGCCTTGTATGAACAAGGAGATAAACATATGGTCAAAAGGATGTATAAGTTGCCAGAAATCTAAAGTTTATCGTCACACAAAATCTCCTGTGAGCACAATTCCAATTCCGAAGAGCAGATTTGAACATATACATTTAGATATTGTTGGACCGCTTCCTGTTTCAAGAGGTTACCGCTACATTTTAACAATTATGGATAGATTTACTCGTTGGCCGGAAGCATATGCTGTAAAGGATATCTCTGCACAGACAGTTGCAAATACATTTTTTAATGAATATGTTTCGCGTTTCGGTGTGCCTTTAGAAATCACGACGGATCAGGGTACTCAATTTACGTCCAAATTATTTTCGGAACTTACTAAATTACTTGGTAGTCATCATATCACAACTTCTTCCTATCATCCTCAAAGTAATGGTATTGTGGAACGATTCCATAGACAATTGAAAACTTCAATTTTGGCTAGGAATGGAACTAGAGATTGGTACGATGAGCTACCGATTATTCTTCTTGGTTTGCGGTCAGTGAAGATATTGCAGCCACTCCAGCTGAAATGCTTTTTGGCCAAAATTTGCGTCTACCTG